CGGTTCGCCCCGATTATGTTTCTAGGTTTGTCAGCACCATACCCGTGCTCGTCGGTTTCACCGAAGTGGTAAACGTCTGACACCTGCATCACTTCGGGCTTTCCTCCCACATTAAGCTGACACGCCGTGATATAACTGGAATACTGTTAAAAGCTGCGTTAAACCCAACTCACTCACTCACTCACTCAATGACTTTTGACCTTTAAGTTCCCCTTGAAAGTGGGCTCAAGTTTTTGAGGCTAAGTCTGGGGTGAACTCGTGAAAATAGAAGTACAGGTGTCACTGGCACATCAGAAACTGAGTTCAAGTCGTTCTGGGACACGTCATTTGTGTTTGCGCTTTTAAGGCACCATTCTAATATACTTTTCGCTTTTCGCGCAAATTCTGCATCAGTAGATGTTCATCATCCGCTGCCCGGCTATATCACTATCCATATCGACGAGTTCGAGAAACACATTCAGCGAAAAAGTAAGACTTGCCACGTGGGGCGAGAAGACCAACAGCACTCCAAACAAAGAAAAAATATGGCAAAAAACTTACCTTGGTCATATCATTAATCTATTTGATTCCGAAAGATTGAAATGTAACAAAGTATAGCCCCATATGAGCCAAGCAGCGAGAGCGACTACCCACACGTCTAACCTCGCCGAAGACAGTCTCCCACCATTGGCAGTCAGTGTTACGAGAATTATCTCCCTTGACTATCGCCGCCGAGAACCAGATTGTCCACATTTGACCAAATGATGTTCTGGCATTTTCTTTCCAAATTCGTGCTAACATTGTTGTAAATTTCATAAAGCCCATGTTGCTGGACAGTATTTTTTTCAGTGATTCTCTGTCCAAAAACGTCATCAGTGGCTTAAAACCAGATTGGTGTATGTCCATGTCTATGTTCATGTCCAATCAAATTCTTTACACAGGTCACATGAAAGGGAGATTGGGCCACTTAGTTTATCATTTATCAACTTAGAATGTGAGTCAATGTTGTGATCTTTCAGCTGAACTACTGAATACAAATTGATGCCTTCATTACAATAAGATGTCTAATCTCTCCTTTGGGTGGTCGGTCCGATTATGTTTCTAGGCTTGTCAGCACCATACCCGTGCTCGTGGGTTTCACCGAAGTGGCAAACGTCTGAGACATGCATCACTTCAGGCTTTCCTCCCACATTAAGCTGACACGCCGTGATATAACTGGAATACTGTTAAAAGCGGTGTTAAACCAAACTCACTCACTCACTCACTCCTTTGGGTGAAAACTTTGGTCCAGAATAATAAGAATACACCAATTGAATTTACCAATGGAGACAGAACAGTATGGATGGACCAAACTTCTTTGGTACTCCCATAAAAATAACAATTGTCTGTGAGAGAAGATGAATAATAACTTTTGCTTCAAAAAACATATAGATTAATTTGTATTTGTTTGTTTTATGTGATTAAATGCATATTGTTTTTAAAGTGAATATTATACAGCACTTCAAATTTTAAAATAGTATTTACTCAAAACTTGTACAAGTGGACAAAGGACATTACGGTTCTCAGGCGACGCTAAGTGTATTCAGTCACGGGTTCTGCCTTCCCGTTGGACATGTTACAAGACCAACAGCAAAGACACCGTGGCTCATTTCTCAACTCAACTCTCTTGTGTGTGTGTGTGTGGGGGGGGGGGGGGGGCACGGGTGGCCCAGTCGTCTAAGGCGCCGCGATTCGCTGTGCAGAGTTGCGTCGCTTAGGCACGCCAGAAACTTATGATTGTTGGTTCGAATCCCGGTTCGACCCGATTATGTTTCTAGGTTTGTCAGCACCATACCCGTGCTCGTGGGTTTCACCTAAGAGGTAAACGTCTGAGACCTGCATCACTTCGTGCTTTCCTCCCACATTAAGCTGACACGCCGTGATATAACTGGAATACTGTTAAAAGCGGCGTTAAACCCAACTCACTCACTCACTCTCTTGTGTGGAATCATTGGGCCCCACCGGTCTTATATCCTGGATATCAGCTCGTAACAATAAAACACACAGCACATGATTCCAGCTCTTTTCAACAAAGCCGTAACTTTTACTTTCAAAACCTATGTTTTCATTCCGTCCAGCACACACCAATTATTTGGCAAACACCAACAGTAATATATTCTTCGCAACGATGCTCACGTGCGATTCGATTTTTTTATGTGACAAGACATTTTTTTTCTAATATGTACATGCGATTAGGGGTCTTGTTTGCTATCGAAAGTTTGTCATACACGTTACATAGTACGCCTATTTGATTATCGTTATCAACAAGCTTCTCGCGGTCGATATGGGTGTTTACTATGTCAGTTATTGTTTGAAACAATGCCGTCAACCACAATGCACTCAAACAGCATGTGTTCGCGATAACATATTAGAATTGCACGAAAATGTATGATTTCTAGGTCGGGGATAAAAAAAATTCAGGGATATCGTGACAAGAATTAAATAATACCTTACAACTTATGAACCTTGACAGTATAACTACACTATGTAAGGTGAAGTGAAATGGGGTTTAACGTCGAGTCCAAGATTATTGCACTTATATAGCGACGTGCATGCACGTGTATTTGTGTGTGTGGCTGCTTGTACTAGTCCGGACTGATGCCGATTTATAGTGCTAGCTCACTGAGATACCATGCCGCAGTTTAACATGAATACCCAACTCAGACAAAGTATACTGACTCCTAGCCAACCAGTCCTTGTTTTAGCCCCTTAATGCCGAGCGCCAGACAGGGTAATAACAAGTACCATCTTTTAACGTCTTTTGGTATGACGCGGTCGGGGATCGAACCCCAGACCTTCCGCTCTCCGGGCGGACGCTCTACCACTAGACCACGGAGGCGGTCCAACTACACTATGACAGGCGTTGTGTTTTGAGACACTACGGTATCAGTTAGTTCTAAATGATTTACATTTTTCACTGAAAGGAGGAAATAAACAAGTTTTGGGATCATATTTTTTCCGAACATCAGGCAGTACGCTTTTTTTTATCGTTTCGTTGCCAGCAATTGTGGTAATATATACTGAACCAAATTAAAAACTTCACAATCCTAAAATTTTAACATTTTTACCAGTAATCATTGTGGGCCCTTAGTGTGTATTTAAACAGTAATGGCCACGTATTGTCTTCAGATAACACCCGTTTTTGTGCAGGTGAATCGATCAAAATCATGTGCACAGCTCTATAGTGGCAAAAGTGTTTTTTCACGTGCAACTGGTCACGTGGCCATAATACCGCTCATGTTTTCAGCCATACTTGTTAGCAGGCATTAACAAAAAAAAGAAAAACACAAGAAGACAAAAGTCTTTACGGCCATTTGTCATGCCACGCCTTTCAAATGTGCAACGTGAACGTGCCATCGGCATGTTGCAGACGGGAACGTCCGTAGCTGAAGTCGCAAGGACGATGGGTTGTAGTCGACGGACTGTTTATGATTTCCAGACGCGTCTACAGCAAACGGGTACCACCGCTGATCGCCCTCGGCCAGGTCGACAATGTGTGACGTCACATGCAGAGGATCGTCGGATTGTCTTACGTCACTTCCGTAACCGATTTTTGACGGCTACATCAACCAGAAATAAACTGTTTAGGGGTAGACTGAGTGCGCAAACTGTTCGAAACCGTCTGAGAACTGCTCCCCTTCAAGCACGACGGCCATACTGCGGGCCGATTCTGACTCAATTACACAGACGTCAACGTCAATTGTGGGCACAGCGACACTTACGATGGACTAAGAGGAATTGGAATCAAGTCGTCTTCAGTGATGAATCCCGATTTAATCTTCGATTTGCTGATCGTAGGGCGAGGGTGTGGAGGCGCCGTCATTAACGTTACGCCCAGTGTTGTGTACAGGAAGTTGACAGTTTTCGAGGCAGAAGTGTCATGGTGTGGAGTGCTTTCTGTGGCAATGCACGTTCCAGGCTTCTTGTCATCCGTGGCAACCTCAACGCTGCTGCTTACCGCGACCAGGTACTGGCACCAGAACTTCTGCCTTTTATGGCAGCACATGGACCCGGTTTGATCTTCCAACCTGACAATGCCAGACCCCACACAGCAATTTTGACAAGGTATTTCCTTCAGAATGCGGGAGTCAACGTCATGGACTGGCCGTCAAGGTCTCCCGACCTCAATCCCATCGAACACGACTGGGATGCTCTTGGCAGAGGTCTGCGCACTCACCAGAACCAACCACCGAATTTGCAAGATCTTGGCACCATTTTGCAGCAACAATGGCGTCATCTTCCCAATCATGTGTTCACAAGCATCACAAGGTCCATGCGGAGGTGTTGTGTGGCAGTTGTCAACGCACATGGTGGCCATACACGCTACTGAACTTGTGTGCCATCAGATTCTCGTGCTTGGGACTTATGATTTAAACTGTTGATGTTATCACCGAATACCGTAGGTGCTTGGAACAAATTATGGTTACCACCGTTAATTAAAATCAACCAAGTCAGCGAGGCTGACCACCCGATCCCGTTAGTCGCCTTTTACAACAAGCATAGTCGCCTTTTACGGCAAGCATGGGTTGTTGAAGACCTATTCTACCCCGGATCTTCACGGGAATGACAGAAGTGTCCAATATTAGTGTCATTCGCTTTTAAGCTACAAACAAAAAGTAAACAGTTAATATATGCTTCCGGCCTGTCCAAATTATGACTACCAAAAACATTTTACAGAAATAATAACACGAAGAGGGCAAAGTCATCGATATCACCCGCAATGGTAAATACTTCTTGTGAATACGATTGCTGGAGAAATATTTACGATTTTCAAGATTTGTTGTCATGTGTCATTTGTTTCAAAATTCCCAAGCTATCAAAAAGGCTCCGGTTCATCAGCATACTACTCCATGTGCAATTTTCGCAAAGGAATATTGTATGGTTTCAAGAGCTACCCAAGAAACGACATCTTGCACGATAGACAGACGGAGGGACCGACGCGTTGCGGGGGATACAAATAATAAGTAGAATTTTATACATACTTGACTTTCTATACACATGTCCTTGAACACAGCTTGCAGATGATCCAGTTTCATCACGGAGCATTGAACACGTTCCACCAACTTCAGTGAATGTAAATGCGCCACAGTTAGGTTCAGACAAGCATTGGACGCTACAATCAGCAGTAGAGATGGCTGCGGTATTTCGAAGATGCGCCATTAAAACTTGTTGTATTCTCGTAAAATCAACGTTTATACACAATGTATTAGTCAGTACTAATTGACCAAGATGCAATACAACGAAGATCCGCAAGAACATGACCATAGTTTGCAACAGTACTTCCCGAGATCTAGTTGTGGGAAAGCAAGACCCTGATCAACTGTAGCTATAACACACTGAGTGTCTGATGAAACAAAAGATCACAACTAGTGAGTTTCAATATTGATTACATATTCGGTAGTTCTACCCTACTATAAGAAGGCGATGCCTATTGGAGAGAGCTGAGCTGTCAATGTGACGTCACGATAGCACACAATCTCACTGGTTACTGTTTATCGATTGACATGACATGTAAACACTCTCCCGTGGACCATTTGAAAAGAACAATAACTGCACTCACTCACCATCAATGAAACATTGCCAACACTTTCAACAAAGCTATACGTCTTTCGTTTTCAAAACCTTACTGCCACGTCGTCTTCAGTGAAGACACAAGTTACAGAAGGTTACTGTGAAAAGACCAAGATCGATGTTTTCTTCGCTTGAATTCTCCTGGCGGGAAGGAATAAATAACAGCAGTGTTTTGTAAAACATTTCAGATAAAGTTTGTTGTGTTCGAATTATTTGCCCTCAATGAATAGCATTTCTCAAAGGAAATAGTTCTTGCATAAATCATGAATCTGGGTGACAGGGAATCGTGAAGACGTTCATCATGATATCGTCAAGTTATGAAGTAGTTCTGTGTCGTTTCCACTGTACCCTCATGACACAAGAATTTCAAAAGCAGGTGTCAACAACCTTGTGTTCGCGTTAACTTGAGTATCATTACAATTCGATGACACCAGAGTCAGTATGCGAAGCCCATTCTCCCGCCGTGATATTGTTGGAATACTGCTAAAAGCGGTGAAAAACCATACTCACTCACTCATTCGTACTGAGGATTTCAGGGTTTGGGTCACATGAGACATCGTTTCCGTCATATGTTTCCATTGACCAGCAGCAATGTGTCTTGGTAAGTCACACTTGTCCGAAAGCTCCTCATGCCGAAGTCACTCGATCCATGACACATGACGGGTCCCATGACGGTGCAATGGTAGGTCTAGTAGTATTTCTTTTATTAGATCGGTACGCAATTTTCCACAGCGGCAGGAAAACTTGAGACACAAAATTAGATTTTATATCATTTCATGACGGAATGGAGATAAAATACGGACAGCCTCGCATACTTTGAAACGATGTACAGATAAATATTTGTTCACATTAATTCTGTTATGTGCGTGAACATGGATTTTAACATTTTTTTCATCAAGCTCATTCAGGTCGCTGGCTGCACAGATCATCCTCTCTTGTAAACTACTTCGGCATGAACACATGTTTGGTTTCGAAGCTCAAAGCAAAAATGTTACTCTCGGATGCATTTTTTCTCCATCCATGACGAGCATCTGTCATACTGTCAATGTCTCGACAATCTTCCTGGGCAGTTGAGTTCAACAATGTAATACACAATGCCTCATTCACGGCGTCATCACAAGATTCCTCCAATTACCCACCACGTGATCAGGGTTACGACCTCCGGATGAATTATTAAATTAGATTGCATTTTGAGAAAAGAATGTTTTCGTTGATATTATTTTAAAAAAACACCCAGTATATGGTACTTTTGGATTTTACAGCGGATTTCTTTTATTACTTTCTAAAACATTTTGTTTTCCCCCTTTCTGACCGCGCGATCTCCTAGCAGCCACGCCCATTAGAGCATTAAAGTTGGTTAAAGCTTACAACTATCAAGAACTTGCCAAGTTCGCCTGCTTCGATATGAGCAACAATACATTTTCATGTGGCGCTTAATTTGATGGAGAGCTGTTCGACATGATCAGGGAGCCTTTGGTCATTTCCATTATGACATTGGTGACTTTATCGTGGAGAAAGTTCCAATTCAAGATGACATAATTCCGATCGTCAACTCGAATCGACAAGTTGGCGCTTCTCTTCCCGCCCTTGCAAGTGCAACAGGAACTTTGACAACTTCATTACCGATCCTTTGGATTAGTGAATCAGTGTCACAGCTAGATTTCATTGTGGAACCAGATAAAGCCGAATATGTATGTTCATAGTTCTTTTGTCAACCATGCGTGACATAGCACAGGCAATCGCAGTTAGGGAATGGTGCGACCACCATGTCGCAGAAATTCGTCGATTCGATAAAGTGTGGCCCAAACTTCTCGACTGAGCTGAGCTAAATAAACGAAGTGTTTTGAGAGATCGTAGATACTCGGACTTGAAGAAACGGATATTAAACGTTGCAGCAGATGAAGGATTGGTGTGAACAAAACGGGAAACGGATCCCAGATTGTATTTAAAAAATAGTGCGCGATGTGTTTCCAAATCCCCCAATAATAAATACATGGGACAAGTTGATCTAATGGTCAAACTGTGTGTGAAATTTCTGTGAAAGGAAAAGAAATCCATAATTAAAGTTGTCTTGGAATATGTGTATTGGAGTTTTCGTTTATCGAAAGTACAATATTATCTAGATAGGATCATATGTAAGTCAAAACATCAAGTATATTTCGTTACGTATTTATGAGTTGCTTATGTGCATTGTTATGTTGATACACGTGACATGTTCATATATTGTAGTCAAGCTTACAAATATTGGTGCAACTTCTGGTGCTTCAAATTAGGCCCCTTCCTAAACACTAGTTGAAATATCTGTGTAATAATTTAAATTTTATAAACATAATCTGCTTATTGTCTGGTATAGATCTTACTGTTGTATCCAAATGACCAAAACTAAACAAATATCTGTAATTTTCGGATTGAACTGAAAGAATCTTGTCGTCAATTTCGTATTTATGTATCGTTACTGTTACATTAACCGAAACCATTGTTCTGGTGCTGTTCTGCCATAAAAGTATACACAACAATATACTTTGACAACAAATGCATTAAATGTGTCACATATACACATGACCATGTGCTTTGCTATTTATAGCGCAACCGTAACTAAGCTCCACCCACTGTGATTGATGCAGACCTCAAACACGATCGATTCGATTTTTTATGAAAAAACTACAGAAATCTTATTGACTTATATCTAGATATGGAGCCATTTGTGGTATCCAGGGTTTGTCATTCAGGCTGATACAAAGTTTGACGGTCAATGGTGATCTTGTGTGCGTGAGGTTTTCAAAAAGCTTCTCCCGACACTCGGTTGTTTACCTTGTCAGTCATTGTTCGAAAATGAAACACCGCCACCTTGCGGGCTATTTATAGTCAGGGTGGGGATTTAGGCGAAACAGTGACGAGAATTAAGTTTTTCCTTGGAATAAAACATACCATCTCCAATAGATAATATAACTACACTATCACAGATTTGTACTCAAACCTGGCATGAGGGCAGGAAAGATGCAACACCAGCCCCGTTTGAGGATGCAGCAACTAACAATCTCATGCACTGATTAAACACTACAAGTTTACTCTGCCCATTATCTCAAAATGTATCAAGTAATTCAATTTCTCAGTAAAGGAGCACATACGAAGCTTTGAATTATTTATCCCGTGGGGTGGAAGAGTCAATACAGCTAATCAGGACAACCGTCACTGTGATTCTCTCACCACACCGGATACACATCGAGGACAATCGCCTTTCGATAAATATTATTGCGGATACCTAGAATGGCAAATACGCCTGTGGCAAGGTTCCAGACTGAGGGACCTTGTTATTGTATTGCTTGTGTATATACCAATTTACAAAAGTAACTGTTATTGAAATAACAACATAAAATGTGGTCATTCGTTTTATCACAGCAAATTCATTGTCCAAACCCCATACTTGGTAACAGGATGACAATGTCAATATCAGGTGTGACCACTATTTGCGGTAAAGCCGACGACGCATCGGCAGTGTATTGTACACCATTTGATTGAAAACAACCTGGTGGGTGGGTGAGTGGGTGAGTGGGTGAGGGAGTGAGTGAGTGAGAGTGAGTGAGAGTGAGTGAGTGAGTGAGTGAGTGAGTGAGTATGATTTTACGCCGCTTTTAGCAATATTCCAGAAATATCACGGCGGGGGACACCAGAAATGGGCTTCACACATTGTACCCATGTCGGGAATCGAACCCGGTTCTTCGGCATGACGAGCGAACGCTTTAACCACTAGGCTACCCGACCGTCCCAAAAATATAATGGGTCAGGTAGGTACTACTTTCAGCGTGTACAGACAAATATGGCGTCACCCGAACATCGAGAGTTTATTTGAATTTTCTCAGTTTTCTTATTTTCTTCGCCAATTTTCGGGTGAACAAGATCATCAACAGTATTGGCCTTGATTTGTTTGTATAAAATCCGTGGTACAAACCGCTCAAACGAGAAACAAGTCAATAAAATTATGACTTGTTTAAAACAAAGAAACAAAGAGAGAGCCAGCCAGGCTTAACTCATGACGGCCTAGCAATAATTGCAGAGACAAAGAGATCTACACCCACCGTCACAAGGGAGCAATAAAAAATGTATGCTGTCTCATTTATCAAGTCCGTATAAAATCAATGCTTGTGAAAAGAAACGAATCAACTGATCGGGTGGACATACCCGGACACTTGGTTGACGGCGTTGCACATGATATCAACCTTTGGTTTGCCTGGCTTATTTGTTTAATATAGATGGAATATTGCTGACATCAACGAAAAAAGCAAAATTAATTACTAACACACCTTACCGAAATTTCAAAGATGGACTGACCTCAGAGCAATCTTAGAGCCGTACTGACTCCGAGTCAACCAGTCATTGTTTTACCCCCTTAATGTCGAGCGCCAGACAGGGTAACAACAAGTACCATCTTTTAACGTCTTTTTGTGTGACGATCGGTAATCGAACCCGGGACATTCCGCTCTCCGGGCGGACGCTCTACCACTAGACCGGTCTTCAGCACACAGAACATCGCAAGATAAACCTGCGTGTTATCGCTTATTACGACCAGCCATGTGGTTCCAATGAACTTTTCTAACCCACGTTTAATGGATCTATATTAACACGTTCATACTGAACCAACCAAATACATGAAGATTAAAACCTCACTGCCGTCCAGTTAATGTAGCTAGCCACATAACCATCA